CACCAACTTGGTTTATCCCTTCATTTTATTTCTGCCCATTTCATTCCTCACCTTTTCTTCTTCTTAAACTTATTCTTTTCTCTCATTAAAAACACCAAAAAGAGCTCTTTCCCACACTCCATATTTCACCCCCTCAATTCCATCATCCATTTCCTTCCGCAAATCCGCCATAAAATAGCTACTCGTTTCTTGGTATCAAAGCATGCTGTTCTACATCCATAAAGGGACCCCTTTACACCCTTCCATAGTCTAAGATAAGCTTTTGGTTTGTCTAAGTCGTGGAGACTACCCGGAAGACCAAGAAACGCAAACGTTGCAAGACGAGGCTTCGGAAAATTTCTTCCTGAAATTTTCAGTGTAAAGAATAGACCACGGAGGAGGTTACATATCATATTTCGAAGTGAAATTTTCACAGCTGAAATTAAAAAGTGTAGGCTTCATTTTGCCGTTGGTTTCGCTCAATTCCGAATTGTGGTTAGTGAGATGCGCCCACTCGAAGTTGAAGACGAAGTTCTGCCTGTATCCTGACTACCTTGCGAGTTTGGTCATGAAAGAGTAAGCAAAGCTCTATCAATGACTCTGCATTTTTGGTACGTGTTAAGGGACTTCAATATCTAACTATGAGAGTTGGAATCTTGTCATTCCAATCTCTGGTTCTTGAGATATGGACTTCCCAAAACGCCTCAAAAATCTGGAAATTATCTTTGCGAATGAGGCAATCTACAAGGTTTCAATAAGGTTCCGAAGATTACACAAGAAGGTGCGAGAAGACTTCGGAAAGAAAACAAATTGGTGGTTCATTGGATTCTTCCTTTTATTCGGGAATTCTCTTATGAACTACTAGTTCTCCACGGTGGTGTGAAAGTTTGAGGACAAACTTTCTTTGAAGAAGGGGAGTATGATGTACCCCCGGATGACTCAAGCAAAACCACCCTCTCCCAAATATCCAAAAAAGTTTTATCTCCTTTCTTTTATCAAAAATAAAATCTTTTCCATCAAAATAAAAACCTTTGTTTCTTGTTTTTGCCTTTTCAAACAAAACCACAATATTCTCCTCTTTCTTTCCTAATCTTGATCCTGAAAGCCTGAATAATCGATTATACACAACTGATAATCGACTATTCTATCCCTCTGATTCCTCGTCACAAACTAGCAACCTCCAACAATCGATTATCTCCAAACCAATAATCGATTATCTGTGACCTCTGAAAATACCCAGTTTTGTGCAAGCCTTATTAATCGATTGTTCTTCAGTGTTAATCGACTATTGAGCGTCTCTGAACATTCCCAGTTTGGAACCAAATCCTGTTAATCGATTATCTAAAGGTGCTAATCGATTATTGTACAT